TGTGTGTGTGTGTGTGTGTGTGTGTGTGTGTGTGTTGGGTGGGGAAGGGGGGGTAGCTGACATTTCATCCTCACAGTCTTGAAGTGGCAAATAAAATATACTGCATGAATTCCTCTTCTCTGCCGAAGTCTACACACATTTGATCTCAGTGTGTTTGCCGTCTGCCAAACAACTTTGAGATTTTCTCTGAGTGGGTCCTCTCAGTTATGGTTTGGCTCAGTAAGCCAGCCGCAGCGGCTCGGCTGAGTGTGTGTTTTCCTTTGGTTCTTTATCTGCCACATGGTCAAAACATGGCTTTGGCTTTTAATAAAACAAAACTCGTTTTGTGCGTTGCCATGTCGGCTTCCCTGGAGCTCATAATCATCATTTGGAATTGGAAAGCCGCTACTCCATCATTTTCCGCTCTCACTTTGATAACGAATAAATTCTCCTTCAGAAATCTTTGTGTGTGTGTGTGTGAATAATCACATATGCTTCCCAAAACTCCCCTTTCCACTTTGCTGCCTGTCAGCAGTTGTTTCTTGTCTGTGCCGAGGCTCATCTTCACTGTCTGATCTACTTCCCGGTTTCCTTCCCAGTCCTAACAAAAACAACTCTGCAGTTCTAGACAGCGGGACGTCATAACGTGGCTAAAGCCAGACTGGGGAATCCCTCAGGGAAGGGTGGAGGGGTTATAAATGAAGGTCACAACCTTGATGGGAATGACATCACTGAGAACAGAGAGGTACACCTTCCAGATATTGTGAGTAAGTTTGTAGTCACACAAACACTTTCATATGTCACACCTGAACAACAGCACAGCCACTCTTTAACATGCAACTATTAGTGCTGTTAGTTTGTTTCTGTGCAGGTGTTTGTTTGATAGAAATCCACCGAGATCTTCTCAGGATAGCAGCAGCTCAGAGAAAAGCTGCAGTGACAGCACTTTCTTGGGGCAAACACTCACACGCAGTTTTTACTGTCAACATAAAAGACCGCAGATTTTCTGACTTTGTCTGCGTCTGCAACTCCTGTTAAGCCTCAGGGAGCCTTTGCGTGATCCTGTAACTGAGCACCATTCCCGATGCCCAGGACCCGGCATGTCTTCAACAAGCCTGGACATGGATGCCCTGGAGTGAATCAGTGCCTGCAAAAATCATCCAACTCCCCCACAAACACCCACATATTTCATCCACTCATACGTGCACACACACACAAACACACGCGGCACACCGCTCTCACTCACAGTCACACTCTTACTCACATATGTAAATGCACTTTTGCTGGTGCACCACCTTGTACACAGCATGAACTGAGCACACATGTTCACACACAGCAACAATGTATTCATACGGCACATTTCAAAAACAACGTTACGAGGATCTGCTCAAAGCAGAAATTAAAATACACCTGATTTTTTTCCTTTTTAAAAACAAGATATATAAAGCATATCTGGACCAATCGCAGCGCCCTGTGCCTCAGCTCAGCCTGCTATCAGGCATGTTTTTGTATCTCGCCCTCAGCTGACAATTATTGTTTGCCGCACTTGGACAAAGATCCCGTTGCTAAATAGAAGCGGAGGGTTGGTATTAAGAGCCGTCTGCAGGTTGTGATGAAGGCAGGCAGAGGCAGCCACAGGCAGCACAATTAGCACTTTGTGGTCTGTTAGTGGCACACTAATTTTCTCACATTTAATGTAGTTTACCTTAAGTAGTGCATTTAGGAGGCCCTGAACCAAATATAGACTCTCACTGGGTTATTTGGAAGTCTACTTCAGTCACAAATTACTGTCTAATTGTTTGCAAGGCACACTTGTTTACTAGTTTTCAGACAGAGAGTGGTGTCTGGCTTCCTTTGACGCTGATAGATTTAAAGGATGCTCCAGTTGCACATTTTTTTGAAATGAACTGATTAACTTTTAGATTAGATCGATTAGATGAGAAGACTTGTAGACAGAGAAGATTGAGTCCTCAGCTATCATCAGCTAACATCACAGTGTGACATTTATCAAGCAAAGCATAAGTTCAGGTGAGCTGCAAAGTCAGTCTGGTTTCATAGCCAGCCCACACCCTCTGGTTGGCTCAGGTAAATACCATCATGCACATCCACTGGGCTAATCTCCTATATGGCTCTAGTTAAGCTGCTTTAGCCTGTGCATAGGTGTTGCTGCCCCTGCAAGCTGCTTTGCAACCCACCTCCAGCTCAGCTCCTTGCTTTGTCCTGTCTGACTTAATTGCAGTCATATCTGTTGTTACTGATGCCCGCTCTGGGGTCTTACTGCTGTTCTCCCTGCTGTATGCTTTCTACTTATGACTGCGCAGCAGTGGGAAGGTCCCAGAACAGAGGGATACCGCCCATTATATTTTACTACATATGGAAATAACAGTTTTATCTATACTTTATTCAGGTTTAACGAACAAGACTTGTTAATTACTGACATTTTCAGTTGTAGAGGTCTGGGTGTAATTTCTTTGCTTTGCACCACCACCACCACCACCAGCCCTCCAGTTCCAGTTAAACAAACCAGACCAGCTGTTAGCTGTGGTTTCATATTTAGAGTATACACAAGCAGGCTTGATCTTCTCGTCTGGCTTTTTAGCAAATGTGAAACTACTCCTTTAATGTGGGAGGTACATGTAATACATTTCTTTAACCTTTCAACTCGCACAGACCTTTCAAGTCATTTTAAAAAAATGTCAGGGACTTTAAGAAAACCAGCTGCACACGACCACCAGAACAACAGACAGAAATCGAAGCCCTGAGATAGTTTTCCCTGAAGTCAAGAACAAACAACATCTTCCCCCTTCATATCTCACTCTGAAAGTTTGGACTTAGTCATCTTCACAGTGCCTGTCAAACAGTTTGCTGCTTTGTCATTCCTCATCGCCGTGTCAGCCTGGGCAAAGAGGTCTCCGTATTTCTAACCACATCTACCTCCGTCACTGAGAAATGTTTGTCGCTGTGAAATTTTGAAGAATTATCTTATTCAGATCGATCTTGTGTTTTTCACGAGAAAAGAAAAAAGGGAGAGCTTCGTGTTCGGGGGCCACGATGCTTCCTGCACATGTTTTGAAGTGCAGGTTTTTTAATGGAGCTTTTGCTCGATGTTTGGCTGTAAAGCGCAAGGACAGAAATAGCTAAACAATGCCTGGCGGCTACAGGCTCGCATCTATAATGACCCCCGCCTTGTGATTGAAGAGGCCCCTCTAAAAGGCATAGCAGGTGGAAGTGTAGGTGGTCTCCCCCTAGCACTCTCCTCATACTGCATATGCACACACACAGCTGCCCCGCAATCTGCACAACACACACACAAGCACGCTGGCGGTGTATGCGCTGCTACTGCTGCTGCTGTTTTCGCTTCACTTCTTGACACTCATAGTTAAACGCACAACATGACCTTAAACATGTACTAAGCAGCTAAAATAACTGAGAAAGTCTGTTCTTACTTTATGATTATCTTTACTCTCTATGGCTTCTTGGGTTTTTCACAGTAATAGTAGTAGAGGAGACTGATTCTGATCACCAACTCACAAACTTACTACACTACAAGCCAAGCTGCTCTCTATTTATTCATCATTTTACAAGCACGTAGGCTTGCATCTCACTCGGCGACAGATCCATGCATCTTGCAAGAATACGTGTAAGAATATATTATATTCTTGCATCTCGGCTCGTCACAGTAAAACAGAGCGTCTGCGAGGAGCCGTCAACTTTCTCTTCTGCGGTGAGTAATAACGAAAGTTCTCTCATCCCATTGACGTTCTGAGACGAGGATGCGGTGTAAAGTGACTGTTTGAGAGTATCTTCATTCATCTATTTGAAAAGCTGCAACACCCCATAACAGTAAAGAGGGAAACGAGTTTCCGTGGCACATATATACTGGAAGCTTTGAGCGCAAACGTGGCCGAGCATCTTCACAGTCAGTTAGATTTGTCTTCGTCCCACTTCAAGCGTGTGGCTAACTGACTCTGACTTTTTGCACTTAATCACCCAGGGCACTGCTCCAGCTGCATGTGTATACTGGATACTTTACTGCATGTATACTGTACACTTTCATCTGTTTTTGTGCAGCTCTGACTTCTTGCCAAGATAACACGCGTTCATATTATGTAACTCGGAAATCTGATATATGTCTGACTATATGGGCACACGTTTGGTAAGGGATGAATTTGGGGAATTTAAATGTGGTGCTGTATAAGCAGATTGAGTTCTTTATGATGCTGACAAAAAATGGATGCTGTGCGTGAATTATTGTATGCAAGGGGATACAAACACAGATGTTTCTCTCTCTGCTGAGAGTGTTGAGCGCGTGCGCGCACACACACATACGGCGGCTATCTTCCCCCATCCGCTTCTTTCACCCACACATTTGCATACCCTCACATTACTACATATAAAGATTCCCTTTGAAGAAGCAGTATCACAGTGCAGCACAGGCTGACAGATTAGTATTTGAATACTAAATCTGATGAGCTGGAAGATGACTATTAAAGAGTTAATGATACTGTAGGTCTGTGTGGTGTAAAGACGGTATTTTTGTCAAGGGGAAAAAATCCCTCAGTGCAGAGGAAGTGATGCTTGCTGATAAATTCATGCAACTGTCTCTAATATGAGCACGTAAAGAAAGTATATGAAGAAAGCTGGCAAGTCAATCCTCACAGACTCCCACATTAATACATCATGTGAAATTAACATTGTTTTTAACAATATCAAAATCATTTTAAGAGGTTGTTACTTGTAACATTACTGTCCCACTGGAAGGTGAAACGTAACCTTTTAATGTTAGCTGAGACTTAAAGTTAGCTTTTCCAGTGGTCAGTAGATTCAGTGACTGTAGCCAGTAGCTGACTGCTCGTCCTCACCTTTCATTAGTCAAATCTCATCTGTGTTTGTGGTGCCAAAGACGTTTGGGCTGCACACTAGCATTAAATCTGACATGCACCATGCTAACTAAGTTAGCTAAGTTACTACCTTCATTCTGAATCCAAGAAATCATCATGGTAGCACCAAAATTGCTAACATTATTGCATCAAAACAAACCACTGACATTTTGGTGGATGTGTGCATCATTTATATACAGTCTATAGTGCTGTGCACAGATTTTACAAAGGTCAGACGGGACTTTGCATAATGTGGAATGTGTCCCTCTCCACCCCATTTCATCTTTAACTATCCTTGTTTACAACATGCACCTGCACTCCAACTCTCTCAGACCAAACAACCGGCTTACTATCTCTGCTCTGCCCCCTGGATAATACAAACCATCTTGCCAATAGCCTTGATCAGAGGAACCATGTGCTTGCAACCGCATTTGCTCGCAGCAGGGGCAGCACTTCAGACTGATGCGTGCGTGAGTGCAGCCACTTAAACTGGGTCATTCAAAGCCATGTGTACTCAGCAGGTGCTTCTTCACCCGTCTCCACCGCGTGTATCATTCCTCCTTTCTTTCCTCTCCTTCTTCATCTTCCTCCTCCTTGCCTCGCTAACTAGCCAGAGCCACCCACATCTGTGCAACAATTATGAAGGATCAGAGAGTAAAACAATGTCCCGAGGCAAATCATCTGCAGCATCAAGCCTAATCACATTAGTAAAGACTCTTTCACGCAGGTTACTACACTCGGCTGGCTCAGTGTCTCATTCGGTAATGAATAGATGCTTTCTAGACAGACACTTTTCATCTCCGGGCCTGTTTTGTTGCGAGCAGGAAGTTGTATTGAACTTAAACTGTATTTATATTGATCAGAACGTATGCATCAGCTTTTTCATTCAGCTCAGCCCGCTAGTTTCTCTCATGTCCCGACTAACCCCAATGTCCTTTCTTCACAGACGTGACTTCCTGTGCTGCTGCGGTAGTAAGGTTTTCATACAGGATGTTGAGGGGGCAGAGAGGATGTGCGAACCCTCATCGCATCCTGTGGTTGAAAATGTTTGCGTGTATTTGTGGCTGTGTTGTTTTTCATTCAGTGGAAGACGCAAACGATAAATGGCAAACGTAAAGTCGAACGTGTGAAGTGATTGTGCCTGTGATAAGCTTCCAGCGTTTCGCTGCTGACTTCAAAGACAGATGTTTCACTTTTTAAAGCCACTGAATTTCAGTTAAGATAGGTCAGTCTTTCCGACTCCTACTTGTTAATTACAACCAAGGATTTTGTACTTGTTAACGTCATCTGTCATCTTAACCAATTATACACTTCAGGGTCATGTCAGGGGCAGCTGGAGGCTATCTCAGCTGTCATGGGTCAAGAGGTGGAGCTCATGTTGGAGAGGTCAACTCAATTAAATCTTACTTATATAGCACCAACAACAGTTACTTCAAGGCATTTTATATTGTAAGGTAAAGTCCCTACAATAACAGATAAATAATCCCAACAATCAATCAACCACCTGTGAGCGAGCACTTGGCGACAGTGGAAAGGAAAAACTCATTTTAACAAGAAGAAACCTTCAACATAACCAGGCTAAGGGAGGAGCAGCCATCTGTCACATCCGGTTGGGGGTGATGAGTTACTATCTTTTCTTCAAAATAAGCACAGGAGCACCAGAAACAGCTTTGAAACTGTAGTCACGTGATCATCATGTTTGTCGGGGCTGGGAGACTGGGACAGAAATATTGATATTAACAATGTAATGGAGTTCATTTTCAGGTCAACTACTTCTTGGCCCATTATCTGCAGAAGCTGTCAAAAAATGATCATCTGCGATCAGATAACTGCAACTCAAAGACATTCTCATTAGTTAGAGCTGCATTTTGCTAACAAATTCAATTAGCACGATTACCCCAGTGAACATTTAAAATTTCATTGCCTAGTATGTGCATCGATGCCCACATGTATGTCAATGTGACTTACACATGCATCAGAACAAACTATCTTTACTCCTATCTAATGCAATTCCTGTGGCTTTAAAAAGATTTTTTGGCATGCCACAATTCAGATGCTGAAAAAAAAAGACCTTCATGGCTCACACCCGGTAATTTTTAAGAACTATTAAAAAGGGTTTGAAGTTGAATTTTGCACGAATAAATACCAGTGCAATAGTATCAGAAAAAGTCCTGTTGGTTCAGTTTCCTTAAAAACAAAAGAAAAAAAGAATAAGAATGAGATTGCTCAAGTCAGTTTCACTTCATATTTTTGCAAATCTTGTCCCGCCTTTACCAGTGAGGCCCTACTCCACAGTTTGAGAACCACTGCCCAAACCTGTGACACACCAAGTCGAGGCAACGGCCAGATGGGTTGCATTCCAAAGCTCTCACACATAGACTCTTGGCCTCATATTTAAACACACTTGGTACCTGTGAACGGGGTCAGCAGCAGATCATATACACTTGAAGGGCAACCGCCTATGGCATGGGGGAATTTGGTTCAAGTTATTCTTCTCTTTGGTATATTTACAACCATAAAGACATACTCATAGAGAAATGTAAGCACAGTTATAAAAGCGTAAAAAAATATTTCTTAGATTACAGTGCAGCGACAATTTCTCCGATGCAGAAGTGAGTCAGTAAACTCACCACACACTAGGGCAGCTGATTGTGAGCACATGGTAACTTCAACAAATTTCCATTTGTTTTGCAATTTTTGAGTAGGGTCACGTTTTAAGACTAGCTTGACAAGCTACTGAATGAGTTGTTTTTTAGTCTTAAAGAGGCATGAGGGGTACTTCCCAAAGTCTGACGTGCACTGGCCCATCTGCTCAGTGTCCTCCTCGGCCATGGTTACCATGACTGCTGCAGAAGCACGAAATTACTGTCGTTGAAAAATTATGGGTGTTCAGTTTTTTTCTTTAAGCAAACTGTATGAATCAGTTTAACTTATAGTTCATGTGTATCACTAGACTTTGGCAGAGGGGGCACAGTGACTTGACTAGGCCCAACGCTGCTTGAATGAATCTGTTTTGTGTAGATCAGGGGTTTCAAACTCAAGGGCCGGTGTCCTGCAGGTTTTAGATCTCACCCTGGGCCAACACACCTGAATCAAATGATTAGTTCATTACCAGGCTTCTGGAGAACTTCAAGACATGTTGTGGAGGTCATTTAGCCATTTGAATCAGCTGTGTTGGATCAAGGACACATCTAAAGCCTGCAGGACACCGGCACTCGAGGCCTGGAGTTGCCCACCCCTGGTTTAAGCTAGAGACGTTTATATTTTCAACGCAACATTTTTTATATTATCAAAGTGCTGAGTTTAGTAGTATTTAAAGGTGAGGCCTCAGAAACACTTTACATGTAATTATTCATACAAGCCCAAGAGTCAGTCAACTAACAACACATGGGGTTGTTCTTTTTGGGATAAACGTTTCTGTGTGATGTGGATCGCTAGTGAACTGTTAGGCCTTGTGCCAAGCAGTGATGGGAATAATGGCGTTACAAGTAACGGCGTTACTAACAGCGTTACTTTTTTCAGTAACGAGTAATCTAACTAATTACTATTCCTATCGTTACAGTTACTAACAAGGAAATGCGGTCCATTACTATTTTTCCACAAACAGACGGTTGAAGCTGTGTTCAGCTTACCGCATCTTATATCAGTTGCATGGAAGTAGCTGACTACGTAAATAATCTGGACGCTACAGCTTTAAGCAGCTGCGCGCGCTCCCGCAGACGGTAATCACGATCACTGTCTAGCACAGGGGTGGGCAACTCCAGGCCTACAGACCTTGGGTCAACACACCTGAATCACATGATTAGTTTGTTACCAGGCCTCTGGAGAACTGCAGGACATGTTG